ATAAGATCAATAATTAAGTTTACTTTAACATACTAGTCATCTTTGGATGTAACTTATATATTAATTAAACAAAGTTCATAACCTACTTCAATTGTTATTAACCATGAGTAAGACCTACCTTTGGGTAATCGTATAACTACATGTTAATAACTATAAATGTTTATTATTCTTAACTATCATTTATGATGCTACATCAAATAAACATTTATAAACCTAATATAAATCATTTAATGAATTTTGAGTGGGCCACTTTGGTGATTAACGTACTCACTAAAATATTAAAGATTTAAATTATGACACAAAATTGTTTGATGTGATCCTACACTTGCCACAACAACGCCATTAGCTATACTCAGTAACTTCACTTGCCACAACAACGTTATTAATTCTACTTGCCACAGCAATGCCATTCACCATCAAACCGGGATCATATCATTGTTTTTTATTAATTAACAATTAATCTAACGTCAATATCATAATCAATTGTCAATTTGTAACTTCAATATGAAAATACCAAAATTTCTTATGAAACATTTAATAAAAAAATACCCAAATTTCTTATGAGGTGATTTAATTCCTATCAAACTTGACTCGATACCAAATGTTAAAATCAATTAATCTTCAATAAGAAAATACACATCATGATCTTGATAGAGTAATTAAATCAACCAAATCAAGCTCATGGCATAATTATTAAGAATTAAAGTAAATTAAATGAAAACTTACTTGATGATTCCATTATGATAGTCGAATATCCCAAAAGCAATAAATAATTAATGTTATCCAATCCCAATATTGTATAATCTTCAATTCGCTTTGTGATGATATCAAGACTTGTTTGATTCTTGATGAAAGAATTAGAACCCCAAAGTAGATAGTGTTCTTATTTTTTTAAGAGAGAAAAAGAAAGAGCCTTGAAAAAAACTGTCAGCTACGTGAGTTTTTAAAAAAATTAATTCTACTATATTTTTTAAATGTCAAAATAACCGAAAGATCAAAATAACCAAAAGATCCCTTTACTTTTCAATTACACATAACAATGATTGTTTAGAGATAGCTTATAAACAAAACATTAATAAGTGAAACAACAACATACATAAACTGAACCAACCAACAACTCTGAGCACCAGACATGGAGGAGAGAAAACTTGAAGAAGAACAAAAAAAAAACATAAAACAAAGCAATCTCCTCTTAACAATAATCACGTCTGACACATATATGCGATAACCACCCAAGAAAATGGTAACTGCCGCAAAGAAAAATATGGAGGAAGAGAGGATGGTATTTGAGATCTCCGCCACTATTTTTCAAATACACATTTTTAAGGGAAAGATTTGATCGGTTAATATATCTTTAATATTAATATATATTTAATACGAATATTATCACAATATATATATTTCTCTTGACATATACGATTCAATCCACTTTACATGATAAAAGTATTTAAATTTGAAAATTTAATCAAATAATTTTTCTACATTTAGTCAAAGTAATCTAACTTATAAACTTTTTTTCAATTCCGTAAATACTTGAATTAAAACCGTTAATTTATTTTGACATAAAAACTCTATATTGAATCACTGTTTAATAAATAAATATTCATTTTGTCCAATTAAATTGCCTCTTATTAATTTTTTTAGTCAATTTTTTAACTTTAACTCATTATTATTTAAAATTTATTTTGATAAAAATATGAAAATTATATTTTAAAAATCTTTAATCAAGTAGTTTTAAAATATATTTTTAATAAATTTTAATTATTTAAAATAATTATGGTCAAAGTTTAAAAAATTTGACTTTTAAAAAGTCAATAAAAATATTTTAGTGAAACGGAAGTATACAAAATTAATAAAATCTATACAAAATTTTCAATTAATTCATTATTGTCCCCCTACAATTTTTTTTTTTTGAAAAATAAACTTTTTTATATAATTATTTTCCCACCGTCACCATAAGTCTATGAATTAAATAAAACTTTATAATTAATTATTATTTTATTTACACAAACTAAGATCTAAAGAGATTGTTATCCTTAGAGGGCTCGAGTTCAAGCTCTACATAAGAATATTTGAGCGTTTTATTGTCAGGCAACTGAGAGTATTAAAATTATATTACTATTTATAATTATCCTAGATTGATAAAAAATTATTTTTTTTTGATTTTTCATGTCGAACTAGTATAATTTTCAATACTTGCTCGTGCATAAAAGAATTAAGGATAACATAATGGTCTCCAAAATTTGGAACTCTTACATTTTAGTCATTAAAATTTTAAAAAATAATAATAATCATTGATTTTTTTTTACAAAAAAATTTAAGTCAGACGTGATTTCCCATTCCAGGACTAGGGCATACCTAAAACCCAATTGGGATTTATATAAGAGTTTACAGATTGTCCAGCAAGAGTTACGGTGATAAGCTTCGAACTTGACCTTACAAACTCAAATTCTTAAGTCCTAATCATTTGTGGCAATGCGCATTGATATAATCATTTAACTTTTAAATCAATTTAAATGCAGTTAAAAATATTTACAAGCTACAAGTTGGATAAAATCCAGTGGTAGTCAAATGACATGAATTTAAGTTCAACTTTCAACCATCAAGAATTCAAATTTGAATTTGCTACCACAAGAATAAATTCAAGTTGATAAGTGGCATTGATGGACACCAAGCATTGGCAAGTTTACAACTTGTGTACATGAGAAAATTATCATTTGGTCCCTAAACTATTAATTAATTTGCAAGTTTGGTCCTTGAAGCTCAACTATAAATAGGCCTAAGCACTTTCACTTGAAAGCATCCCAATAAGTTCTCTCTCTCATTGTTTTCTTCATTCTCACACTTTGTAATATTTTAGGAATTATATGGAATTACATTTTTTGTAATATTTTATCGATAATGAAGTTATCATCCGTTGGTGGTTCTCGAGGAGTAGACGATATTTTCGTTGAACCTCGTAAATTTGTGTGTTCTCTCCATTATTGTTCTTTATTGGGGTTTTCCATTGTGTTTCAATATTCAATAATTTGACGGGTTTGTCCGCTGTGCAATTTTGGTAGTTTTGATCTTGACGTTTTAAGTCAATTTTAAAACTACATTCGTGTGGGAAATAACCCGGTTTCCCCAACACTAAAGACATAAACATAATTACTTAAATTGAAATCTTTTAGAGATAATGACATTTAATTTTATCAGTATGTTTACTTATTTGAACTTTGTGTTGAATTCAGGCGGCTATGGTGTGAGACATTTTCGGATCCGACAAGTCATCGGCGGATTTAATGGTGAAGTTGTATTCGCCGTCGTTGGCATTAGGGTCTCTGGCTATGTTGCGAGGGTTGTTGGTTTCACAACCGAGCAACGCTGCTCCAATCGTTGTCGAAGGACCCGGCGGCTTTGAAAAAGAGGGATTGAAGTTGACTCGTGGAGTTCCAAAGATCAACACGTAATTACTCCCTTTTATCTATGTAGACAAGTCAAGATAAATAAGGATTGAAATTCAAAGCACATAATTTATGAATATATTTTTGATATGATAGTAGTATATATATGTAGTAATTTTATTTGTCATGTTCACAATTTTCTTTTCAATTTATGTGATTTACCCATTTGATATTTATAGGCATGTAAATGAACTCAACGTTCAGCGAACCGTTTGTGAACCGTGCGGCGGGAAGTTCGTTTATGTGCGTTTATTTATTAAATGAACGAACATGAACAATATTTTTTGTTCGTTTAATTAAATGAACGAACATGAACATAGGTCTCGTTCGTTCATTTACGTTCGTGAACGTTCGATTATGTTCGTTCGGTTATGTTTGTTTATGTTCGTTCGATTATGTTCGTTTATGTTCATTCATTTATGTTTAATTCAATCTTCTTAAATCAATTTTGGTGACCAATTTGTAAGTACCTTAAAAATATTAATTAATATGATATTCTGATGACCAACTCCATAATTAACCCAATTTTATTTGGAGATTAAATCCAATATGTTAACCTTTGAGGCACATCGCACCTATATTCATTTCCCCTTTTTTCCCCAAACCCTAGTTCACTAGAGAGTGGAGACGATCGCTGAAAGCTTCAAACAAGTTATATTATAGTGCATATGAAGTTTTACAGGTCTGTTTTCATCTCTTTTCTCTGTTTTATTTGACTTCATAGTTGATATGTAAAGTTATGCAGGTATCTCACATCTAAAACTCAAAAAAACATCATACTCTTTCTAGAAATAGATGGAAGATAAATGTAACAATCGGAAGTATATGAGCATCAATAAAGAGAAAAATATATAGAATTTGCCAGAAAACAAAACAAAGATTTCTATGCAATTTTTGAAAAAAGTGTAATAGCGAAAAATGATTGTTCATATGTAATCATGGACCACTAAGATAAATGTTATAGCGTTAAATTAAAGTTGTGTGAATAATTTAATATCTTTAAAAGATCGATCAAAATATTTGATATCTTCAAACATTTCATCACTGCTAATAAACTCTTACGCTATTTATCACTGTAGATTTGGTTATTTGCATTGTCGACTATTTTTCATGAAAGAACAATGGAAGGTAGGGTCTCCAACGTTTATGTTCGTTTATGTTCGTGTTCATTTATGTTCGTGTTCGTTTATGTTCGTGTTCGTTTATGTTCGTTTATTTATTAAATGAACGAACATGAACATATTATATTCCTTAATAAACGAACATGAACAAAAAAAAATTTGTTCGTTTATGTTCGTGTTCGTTTATGTTCGTCTATTTATTAAATGAACGAACATGAACATACCTCCGTTCGTGTGCGTTCGGTTCGTTTACAGGCCTAGATATTTAAGTCTTTCGTCTATTTTTATTTAAATAAGGATTGTTTTAGGGATTATTGACTATAAACTTAAATACTTATAATTGTTCTTTTGTGGGACGGACCTGTCTGCCATTATTTTTGGTCAAACATGGCAGGTACTTCTTAATAATTCCAACCAATAATCGATGATTGCAAATCCTTCGATCTTCACTCACCACTCCATCAAAACGATCAGATATAAATGCACATATGGAATCACTAGTAAGCTTTGCAGGGAAAAAAAGACATGGGAAGTTTAGGGAAGGTGGTGGATGCCCTTCTATTGCTATCATTCTTCAGCATCCTGGTGATAGTTCCGCTGGACATCCCGGAATCCATCCTCCCTTACCACTGGAATCCTCTCTATCGATTTTACACGACGATCAGCCGGGATTATTTGGTGCTCGACAAGCCCCCTTTCTTCTTCGCACTCATGATGCTGGAGCTCTTCTACCCTCTGTTTTGAAAATCGGATCGGACCGGCCGGTTCAACCGGTTCAATCGGGAACCTTACTTAGTCCGGTTTAATCTAAATCGATTGAACCGTTATTAGTGAACCGATCAGAACCGTTGAATCGTTCGAACCGGACCGGCTGAAAATCGGAAAAAATCGGGAAAAACCGGGATTTTTATTTTTTTTTTAAAAAAAATTAAATCAAACAACGTCGTTTGTTAAACGAGCCAAGTCGAACTCGAGTATTGCTGAGCTCGACTCGAACTTGAAAACTTTAAAAGTAAGCTCAACTCAACTCAAACTCACAAGCTAAAAATTATCAAGTTCAACTCAAACTCGAAATATATATGAAACTTGAACTCAAAAAGGCTTGAATTCAAAAAAAATTAGAAGCGATTGAAGCCTAAAATTCGAGCTTGATTGAAGTGAAAGAATAGTTATATAATTATAGTTATATAATTTTGTTATGCTTTTTTTAACCCCAAATTTATTTTTTAATTATAGTTATATAATTATATTTATTATTTAATATGTTTTACCTTAAATATTATGTTGTCGTTAATTTGAATCATTTTGTTTCACTTGATTTTATAGTTTTTAACTTATATATGTTATGACTTGCTTTGAATATGACTTGTGATATAAAAAATTATTTTTTATTAAATATTTTTGATATTTTTATTTAATTTTTTAAATAATTATGACGTCGTCCAGTTCTTCCGACCGGTCGAACCGGTTAGACCGGTTGAACCAGTGAACCGGTAGCATGACCGGTTCGCTAATCGGTCCGGTTCTGAAAACATGCTTCTACCTGTTTCCGCTCGCCGTGCTCAACATCTACGGGATGCTTACCGCCAAGCCCTGGTTCAACTCCACCTGCCTCGTCTCCGGTGCCTATCTTATCACCTCCACGGTAAAAAATAATAACTAGTAGTTTGTTTTCTGTTTTTCCTCGAGTATGCATTTTTTTTAACAGTGTGGTGAATTTCAGACGGCTATGGTGGGGGACGTTCTCGATCCGATTAACGGTCGGCGGATTTCATGGCGAAGTTGTATTTTCCGTTTATTCCGTTAGGGGTTCTCGCCGTATTGTGGGGGCTGGTTCCGCAATGCGGCACGGCTGCTCCGATCACCGGTAACGGACCTGTGTCGGCTTTGAAAAAGAAGGCATGAAGTTGAAGCTTGGACCAATGAGTTACAAGGAACATCTCTTTGATTAAGCTACCATGTCAAAACAATAATAAGGTAGTATTTGTAATAGTCTCCTCTTTGTCATGTTTTGAAAGTGTTTTTCCCCTATCGTCCGACTATTAATGCTTTGGCCTTCCATGAATTGGCTCTTATGAATTATTATCATAAAGTTCAAACCCATATATCTCTATAATTTCCATTAAATTGGTCTTGTATTTATCGAGCAAGTTGATCACTAGTTGAACAATGCTTTACTCAACGTGAAAACTACTCGATCTGACTCATTGATCGTTAAGTTCGATAATTTTTTCCGACTTAATTCAACTTGTTGCTCGTTAAACTTCCCAGAAATTTGATATTTTCTTTAAAAATATATATATAATCTAATAATACTAAGAAAAGCTAAATATAAACGTAAATTAACATATTATATATATATCAGAATAGGATATGATGAAATTTCAAAGTTTAAACTCCAAAATAGCAATTCACAATACACCAAACTAACATATTATAATATTTTTTGAGAATAAAGAAGTTTAATAAGACATAATCTTAAAAAAAGACAAATAACACTTAACAAATTATAAATTAACAAGCTGCTCGTGACTCATTGAGACAAATTAAATTTTGCTCGACTCGACTCGTTAAAATTTCGAATTAAATTCAAATCGAATCAATCTAAATCAAAGATTGATCGAATTTTGAACGAATCGAATTCAACTTAATTAAAAACACTCTATAGAATATCCCATGATAAACCTATCCTTAATTTTCATTAAGGCTAAGGTTTGATGAGTCACTACAAAGAGTTTTTTTTGGGGTTTATTCTTCTGATTTTCAAGTCTTCGCCTTAATTAATCTTATGCGACCCAAATCACACATCTAACTTTAATAATGAGTCTCTCAGCGGGAATTTTCTACATACATAACTTTATATATTTATTTTTAAATGAATCAATATTACGAATTAATCAGATTTTAATCTAATGTATTAAAGTTAAAAATTTCATGAGTTAGTTCATGTTGAGTTTTTAACCTACAATACTTAGAGCACACACATTACACTAACGCAACCACTTGAAATTTGTTTTTTTAAGATAACATTTTATTCACTATTGAGATATTTATATTTGACATAATTATTATTTTATATCGATTGAATTTCTGTCGTGAATTGATTGATTAATGTGGTTGGTACTTTATTAGGTTGATGACATTGTATTAAAGTTTGATTAAGAACATATTTAATTTGAAACTATACTTTAGTGGTTTAAGAAGGTATTATTTTTTTAAAGGTCCCATGTAAGTAACTATGTCTGTGGGTGCGTGTAAATTGTTAATAACTAATAAAGATTCTGAACAAATTTTATCTTGTAATAATCACTATAAAAAATAATATTTAATTTATTTACTCTATTCGTCCTTGGACATTAATCTCGATGACACGTAGATTAATTGAAATATCGGGGGAGATTAGGGGTGCTTAATGAGTTGAGCAATTCGTGTAGCTTGTACTCGACTCGGTCAAAACTTGGTAAAACTCGAACTCGAGTTCGACTCAGAACCTTAATAAGATTATGAGACCAACAAATTTTTTTCATCAAATATTTAATATTGTTACATTTTCAAGATTTAATGTTTGTTTTATCGATCTAAATCCGATTTTTTTCTTTGGGAGAGTTATCTTTGTTATGAGGATCCTGGATCGCTCTATCGACCATGCATCTTTAGTATCAAGGATGGGTGCATAATTTATGTTAGGGGTAGCGAACTTGAAATTTTAAAATTCCAGAGGATTAACTTAAACTTATAAGATTTCAAAGGGACAAAAACAAATTTAATAGAAAACATAGAAACATATAAAATATATGATAATTTTAAATTTTCAGGGGACGAATACCTCACCCCTGTCCCTCTCGATCCATTCCTACCTAGTAGTTTTATGTCGTGTCTTTTAACTGGCATAAATTTATGGCAAGTGTCTACCTTTGACGGGCATGTTTGCTCACTGTCTGGTGACATGAGATTATGTATGCTATACTATATATGTTTTGTTTTCTTTCATGGTTAGAAATGGATAAAAGAGATTGACGAGGTTGGCAATTTCTGATCATCCTTTAAGATCATCTCAGTTGTTTCTGTTTCTCTTCTTACCCGTTATGTTTTATTGTTTGATTGATGGATTGGCGAAATCTGTTTGGGGGCTCAGCAGATCATAACCTAGATTCCCCTCCCCCCAAATTTCATGATTGAAGCTCGATTATTCACCCTCCTTAAGAGATTCTTGAGGATGGAACTTCCGAATGGAATCTATCTCTAGTGGGCTAGTTCCTGGGGGTTGGTCCTAGTTTTTCATCTCTTTATCGGACTGTTGGCAATTTGTGGAGTAAAGTACTGCTGGGTTCTCGATTATAGGCCAATTCAGTTGGAAACATATTTATTTTCTCTTTTAGTTCTGAAACTGCTAGAGAATGAGTACTTGAAAATGATCCATGGCATGCGCAAAATAAGTCACTCATACTTAGGAAATGGGAACCTAACATGAAAATGCTTAGCTTTAATTTGTCTAAAATCCCTGTTTGGGTTCAATTGTACAACGTCCCCATCGAATTATTCTCTAGAGCAGGCTTAAGCTACATAGCAAGTGCTATTGCAGTCCCAATCTATATGGACACTATTACAGCATCAAAAACAAGGCTTGAGTTGCTAAAGTTTGCATAGAAATAGGAGTTAAAGATGTAATTACTAAACACATTGATGTTGTCCTCATGGATGGCCAAACAACTTCGATCTATGTAAAAGTTCCATGGCTTCCTTAATCATGTATGAGATGTAATGTATTTGGGCACAATGAAAAAGGTTGTCTGTATAAAGCTAACCCAAATCCTACTGCTTCACAAGTCTGGAAAATGAAGGGAGAAATCATGCCTAACATTGCTGCCATTCATGTAGGAGGTGTAGAAGTTCTACAAGAACCTGAAAAATTAGATACTCATGTTCCTCTAAATATTGTTATTAATGATCAAATAGCTAAGGATTCAATTGATGTTGTTCAACAATCTATTATTGTTGAAAGTGAAGATAATGTTGGCGAAATTTGTTTGGGGGCAGCAGATCATAACTAGATTCCCCTCCCCCCAAATTTCACGATTGAAGCTCGATATTCACCCTCCTTAAGAGATTCTTGAGGATGGAACTTCCGAATGGAATCTATCTCTAGTGGGCTAGTTCCTGGGGGTTGGTCCTAGTTTTTCATCTCTTTATCGGACTGTTGGCAATTTGTGGAGTAAAGTACTGCTGGGTTCTCGATTATAGGCCAATCAGTTGGAAACAACATATTTATTTTCTCTTTTAGTTCTGAAACTGCTAGAGAATGAGTACTTGAAAATGATCCATGGCATGCGCAAAATAAGTCACTCATACTTAGGAAATGGGAACCTAACATGAAAATGCTTAGCTTTAATTTGTCTAAAATCCCTGTTGGGTTCAATTGTACAACGTCCCCATCGAATTATTCTCTAGAGCAGGCTTAAGCTATAGCAAGGCTATTGCAGTCCCAATCTATATGGACACTATTACAGCATCAAAAACAAGGCTTGAGTTTGCTAAAGTTTGCATAGAAATAGGAGTTAAAGATGTATTACTAAACACATTGATGTTGTCTCATGGATGGCCAAACAACTTCGACTATGTAAAGTTCCATGGCTTCCTTAATCATGTATGAGATGTAATGTATTTGGGCACAATGAAAAAGGTTGTCTGTATAAGCTAACCCAAATCCTACTGCTTCACAAGTCTGGAAAATGAAGGGAGAAATCATGCCTAACATTGCTGCCATTCATGTAGGAGGTGTAGAAGTTCTACAAGAACCTGAAAAATTAGTACTCATGTTCCTCTAAATATTGTTATTAATGATCAAATAGCTAAGGATCAATGATGTTGTTCAACAATCTATTATTGTTGAAAGTGAAGATAATGTATGAGAAAGGAGGTTGATGTTATAGTTAATGATCCGGTTAGAATAGAGGTTAATGACTATTCGAATGCTGTTGCCAATAAGCAAAAAGATACTGAGGCAGTTGATGATTTCATCCTATTGTTGTTGCTGAAAGTGACCTTATATCTTAGAGCCTACAGGAATAAATGGAATGGATTAAACTGCTCCGCCAACGTACTTAAGAGGGTAAAGGCAGACCTTCAAAAGATAATGCTAACGCACCATTTTCATGTTCTAACAACATATTTGAATTGCTTAATTCTGTTGAGGAGAATTCTAATAACTTAGAAAGTCAGCAAAAAAAACCTAGGGCTGCATCATTGGGTGTCGTAGGATTGGTGAAAGAACTCAAATCAAAAAAAGAAAGAACATATTATAGAGAAAGATGTCTTATTATTGGTGGTCAAGGGGGTTCTATAGGATCTCCTTCCCAATGATAGTTAGTTTTTGGAATATTAGAGACTTAACAGTCATCTAAAACATAATAAAGTTCTTCTTAGAGCCACTCAATACAATATTGATTCTATGTCTTTGGAGACTAGAGTTAAGGTTGACAAAGTAGAGGCTATTTCAAATCTAAATTTCAGAATTAGAATATTTGTTCTAATTATGACTATACTCTTAACGGTAGGATTTGGATTATTTGGAATAAGGGTATTGATCTTTTTATCATCCACATTTCTGATCAAAGCATTACTGTTAGAGGAACTTACCTTAGTTTACCATTGTTTATCTCGGCGATATATGGTAGTAATGATGGGATTGCTCGAAGACATCTTTGGCAGAAGTTAAAAGAAGTTGACTCTACTGTTAATAAGGCTCCTTGGGTCTTAGGAGGGGACTTTAATATCATCATGCAATCCCACGAAAGCTCTGACCGTGAAGTATTTGGCCACTACCTCACTTCTGATATGAAAGAGTTTCAAGATTTAGCTTATGAGCTTGAACTCCAAGATTATCCTTACTTTGGGACATCTTATACTTGGAGTAATAAGCACCATCTTTCTTTTCTTACAAGGAAGTTTGACAGGGTTATGATAATTCTAGC